GGGGAATAAACATAAAAGTAATAATCTAAAACTGTTAATCTATGTTTTTCTGGCCTGATCTCCAAACTGAGAGAAAGAATCTAAGCTAATCGATGCTTAAAACAAACATGTAGCTTTTTAAACATCTTACTTCTAAAAGTTATCACTTTGTGTTTACAGATACGTTGCAGCCTAGAGTAAAACCCAAAGCCTGTGTTTTTTGTTTTGTTTTTTTTCTATAGGAGGGGTGACCTCACCCTTGGGTCCGTCATTTTATTCACATTCTCACAGTATTTATCTTGTAGGAGTACTTCTGAGTATTTCAATTGTAAAATTATCTGACGCAATTTGTTACTTGGTTTTGTAGGAGTATTTTATTACCTTCCAAACGTAAATGACTTCATTGTGGAAATTCTTATAGGATCTGTCAATTCTCAGGTAATACATGTTTTGTGTTAGTGAATCTGATATGTTACAAAATATCACCTCTAGCTGTATTCCCGCGTGTATTTGTCTAAACATGACTTTTGATTGAGTGTAAACTGGGCAACATATGCCCTTCAAATTCCAGTGTTCAGTTTCCAACTAAAACTAATTGTTCAATATAAGTGAATTATTTTAAACAGACTGTAAGCAAGATTTGTCAGTGACAACAAAATTATTTTGACTTAAACAGCTTGGCAGAGAGAGACCTTGTGTGGTTTATTTATTTGAAGGAAAATTAAGACGAAATCCGATAGAAAATCGAGCAATTTCAGGTTTTAATGGACAAAAATCTGGTACCAGAATAATTTTAAGTATTTTACAGTCATTTGTACATTTTCTTAAATGTAAATACATAAATAATTGCCTGAAATAACACCGAAAACAATTTCCCATGGGAACGAGAGAAAATGATTTTCAAAGTTCACAGACCTTGTGCAAACACAGGCAAAATTTCATCATCAGTTTCATTTCACCAGTACTTTCAAGTGTTTCATACGAAGTTAAACATTCGTTTTCGACGTCTGGTGTTGCTAGAAATGATTTTTTTGAGCAGATATTTAAAAGGGTCGTACAGAAGTTTGCAATACGATGTAAATAATCTTGGTACTACGTTTTTGTCCACTCGTTACTCGAACTTCTGGTGGATTCCGTCTTAATTCAATAGCCTCGGTTTGGCTCGAATATTATCTCTTTTTGAAGGCGCACTGTTTCTTCAACCTTTGCGCTTGGAAATCTGTCTCCTTCCAAGAACAGATAATGCCCGCAAGAAAAAATATGTGTGGATATTTTTGCACAGATTTACGATTGTTTGGGGGACTGAACAAAATGTAGAGGGTACACAACCATGGGTCAGCTATTCCATCCAGGGAAGTGGTAATATCTTAATTTGCCTGAACAATTCAAAGAAACAGAGTGTCGTCTTGATGCTCTGTGAGTAGACTTGACCTGGTAAACCTAAGTAGCTCAAAACGGTGTAACCTTTTTTCCCTTAAGGTGCGGTCTACAGCACTAGAGCAACTTTTGATTTTAAGTCAAACTCCTGTAGGAGGTATGTAGTGTGTGCTTTTATGTATCTGAAAAAAATCAGCGTGGTTAGTAACATTACATGCGATAAACTGGTTTTGTCTTTTCACGAAAACGTTTGAAGGTCAAACACTTTTGCTCCTGTTTTTTTTTTTTTAGGTGATGTCAGCCTACGTTGGTCACTGCTCTGAAGTGCGCAAAATTTCTTGTCGTGTCTTTTTTTAGCCGCGTAATATTACGAATTTGTTACCTGTTACCTGTTACCTATTACCTATCCTCCTCTTACCTCGTGGCACATAGGGCCTTTACATAGGTCCTCCACTGTTCTCTGTCTGCTGCAATCATCCTTCTTTCCTCCTATAATCTCCACCTTGCCTCTTTACGTTCCTTTTCAACTGTTCGTTACGAATTTGCAGTGCACATTATTATTGTCCCTATTGTGTGTAGAGTTGTTCATGATGTGCTTTTTTTTTTTTTTTCAGAACCCAAACTTCAGACACCCAATCACTTTCTTTTAAGTGTGATGCTCAATGCGCCGCTGCCTTTGTGGACTCCTACAGTTCATGTGAGAGGAAAAAACTACAGGTACAGAATTCCGTCGGTTTTGCGGGGCAAGATGGCCCAATGTTCAGACACCAGACTCCGGTTTGCACGGTCCAGGTTCGAGCCCTGGGAGGGATTATTGTGTTGTGTTCATGGCAAGACACTTTATTTTTATAGTGCCTCTCGTCACCCAGAAACAGATGGTACCTGTGAATTGTTGGGGCAGCCAGTGCTGGGGAATAACCAGCGCTGGACTAGAAACCTATCCAGAGGGAGTGGCAATGCTCCAAGCCGCTTCGTTCCACAGCTACCAGAGTAAAGGCTTTACTAGTACATTCCTTGAGTACTTAACCAGCTAAATAGGCATGCTCTAAAATCTAAACAAAATTACCACATGTACTTGTAGTATTAATTTATTGTATTCTTTGACGTTTAGATTGCAGCGTCACTGTAGCCAGTTCTTTGATCTCGTCTGTCGACTGTTAGACTACTTGACAGGTAATCGCCTAACATAGCATTAATCATATCGTTCGTTTTATCGTTGATTTTAAATAGTTACTCTAGGGAATGCATGGGTCAATCAGTCTAACATTATTAATACAGGTTAGATCTCCTTCATTGTAGTCTAAATTGGATTGTCATAGCTCCCAACTCAAATACGTTTTCCGATTGGAAGAGAACGTGTCACGTGTCGCTGGTCAAAACTCACTACCTCCCTAGGGCGAACAAAACTCACTACCTCCCTGGGGAAACAACAAATTGAACTTTCGACTCGCACGTGATCAGGTCGTGCTCCTTGAAACCGGGGTAACTTTGCGGTCTTGTCAAGCACACGATTTCTTCACAGTCTTCTTCACAGTTTTTTTTTCTTTCTATTTTTGAGTTGGGAGGTATAACAAAACACTTAATCAACCACCTCCACCTAATCGTGGTTAGAATATGGCCTGTGTAAAGCTCAATTTAGCCGTACACCGGCATTTAACGTGAACTTTGGTGAAACAATTATCCCATGTATGAGTGCATTCTTAACTAGACATTTACACTTGAGGTCCTTAACTCAGACTTGTTTGTCACTAAAGCTAGTTTTTTTTTTTATTATTTGTTATTTTTGACATGATCTGATTTGCTAACATTGTCATGTTGCAGAGTCCATATGCATGTAACATGTTGGACATTTTAGCTTGCTTGAACTTTATCACAAACTAGAAATGTTTTTTTGTAATCTGTCTGACTGGTAGACTTTATCTTGTCTACATGTAAGTACAACACTGCACGAGTTTTGCGCGAGTCATTGAAGGACTTACAATTTCATTCAATTGAATCGTTCTTCAGGTTAAATCTGATTCTGTTTAATAAATCTATTTCAGTGACAGAACAAAGACTGATGAAGATTGATCCTACCAAGATGATCGAGGGTGAAATACAATGGCTTCTGAACTTTGAATTTGGAACTAATTTAGGTAAGGTGTTGGCTTATAACATTTTGAAAGATCTTCTTTGTCAGCTCGGAGCTGTATTCGTCAGAGTTCAATCTGTCCTGTCTGGTCAACTCTGAAGTGCACATTTTAGCCATGGACTCTAAGTTGTCTATATCGTTTTATAAACGCATTTGATGAATATCTCAAACATGAGAGACGTGTTTTACCGCATTTCCAAACATCGAGATGTAATATATCAAACACAAAAGACCGTGTTTGACCACATTTCCAAACACCGTGAAGAGAGTTGAAAATATCACGCGTAGCGGAGTATTTTTGACGAACTTCGAGGTGTTTGGAAATGTGGTCAAACACTCTCTTGAGTGTTTGATATATCTTCTCAATCGCAACTAAAACTAAGGTGAAAATGGAGAAATAGAATCGTAAAAATCTATGCTAATTAAGATCAGATATTCAAACATCGACACAGTCATGATTTCCTTTGTTTAATCTTGATGAATTATTAATGAGTTTGAGAAGAGTGTTTAAAATACGACGCGCAGTGGAGTGTATTTGACGAACTTCAACGTATTTGGAATTGTGGTGAAACACTGTCTCAAGGGAACCAAGAAATAAAATGGTCACTGTCATGATTTCCGTTGTTTCCTTGATAAATTGTTAATCAGTTTGTAAAGAGAGCATCCAGGCATTCTCTTTTTTGTTCACTTCACACGATAAATATTTACTTAGGCGTAGTTCACACTAGCGACATAACAACTTAAGAAGGCCGTTATGTTGCTAGTGTGAACGAGGCCTTACCAGATTTTATTTTCATTTCACAGAAAACGAATTTCCCCTGTTGGCTGGTCATTTGAGATTAATCAAAACTCTCTTTACTTGTGAAGGAGTCGACAAGAAAGGCTTAGGTAAGTGAAACTGCATTGAACTGTTGCATTCCTATGCAGCCATGCAGCCTGCGTAGCAACCGTTCTCGTACGAAGAGCTTTACCGCATTCTGGCCGCGAGAGCAAAAACTCGACAAAGCAGGAGGTGGCGTGGCGCACCACCACCCCCTGCTTCGTCGAGGTTTTGCTCTCGCTCCAATTTACGCGCGGTCAGAATGCGGAAATGCTCTTTGTACGGGGAACGCTTGCTATGCAGGCTAGTAACCATGTTAAATGAATGCCTGCTGTTTCAACTTGCAGGAGAGAAGCTAATAAGAGACCTGTTAGATGATTTTCTCTTCCCTGCTTCGAAGCTTATCTCTATTAACGGCAATACTCCATCTAAAGAAACTGTTATCGATGTACACCCAAAGTAAGTGGAATGTGATATTTTGTTTAAGTCATGTACAGTTTTCTGTCTCAGAACGTTCTTGTTCCCCTAACCAAGCATCACTGCTGGCGCGCGTTGACAACGTACCGTGAATTTCAAATGACAATTCAGTTCGCACGATTTTTCTTAAGCTATACCTCTTGACCGAGTTCGAGGGCCGTACTGTAAGTTACAGACCGCGGGCCATAAATCCAAGGGGGAAACGAGGATCCGTAACTTACAGTGCGGACCGAGAAAACGAGGTTAATATTAGTAAGATATTTATTGTATCTTTACTGTGTGTCTGACGGACTCAGGAACGATTTCTATTCACGCGGAACGGCTTCAAATTTCTCACGCACCTCGAGAAGCAAAACGACTCAATTTGAAATCATTGTTAAGTGACTCTTTAGTCGTTAGCAGGTTTTAATACACAATTTCAGAAGTGAAAGAAAGTTTTAAACTTTTAGTTGCTAAAAAAGTTAAGAACACTTGGTGACAAATCACGAAACATTTTGGCAACAAAAACAGCTTTAAATTTTAGCTGGCCGTACAATGGAATACGGCCCGCTAAATTGACCAATCACAGCGCGCGTACTAACTGAGAGATATAATAACATGCGATAATGCGAAGTGCCTTTCAAAGACAAGATTTTTTGATGTTTTGGCTCAGTTGTACGTTTCAAGTTGTTACCCTTTCTTCCTCCTTGTGATTTTCATAGAGAGCTAAGGTTACTTTTTTGGTCTGCTTGTATTTATTGTTGTAAATCAAACTCGCCTGATGTGCGGCATATCGTGTATTTCAGGTGTGTAGGTAGAGAGTGTCAAGTGGCTGCTTATGATCTTCTGGTAGAACTGGGAGATGGCTGTCCTGAAAACCTTTTTAACATTGTAGCACATTTGATTTGTATGCACCATGTCGAAGATCCTGGTACACTCAAAGAATGGGAGGTACATTTCAGCATTTGTTGTTGTCATAAAATTCTAATGCCTTTTATAAAATACGTGAGATACTACTTGCACTCTCACTGGTCGATAGTTGTGTTTAGATGATCGTATGTAAACACGGTTGTGACGTTTTAGATTCGCGCGTATTCTTGAGAAATATTTTATGAAAACAATACACCCTATGCAAATATGGCGGACCACTCGGTCGTCGCCCGGGACGAGTTTCATGAAAGCGAGGCTAGTTGGGCCTCGGTGTTTTGTTTTGACAATGCTTCCCCAGAAAAGTCTTTCTTCGTCGACGATCTGGTCTGTTTTATTTCGCTATGCCTACGAGTTTTTGTGTTCCTGAATATTTGTTGGATTTTTTTTCTTTTAGTTTCAGCCACCAGTAGCTCCACGGGCACAATGTGGATTTGTGGGTCTGAAAAATGCTGGGGCAACTTGCTACATGAATTCTGTTCTCCAACAATTGTACATGCAACCAGGACTTAGAGAGGTGAGTGGAAATGAAAGTAATTTTTCTGTTTCTAACATTAACAAGCTTTATCATTACCTTTGTCTGAATGGATAATCCTTTCCATTTTTCTATTGCGCATGAGCAACAACCATAGGAAAAATACTCCTTCAAATATGAGAATCTTTGCTGACGTCATTGTTTGCATTTTTCCTAATTAACTTGCACGTCACGCAGAGAAGGCATCACGCTAGACACGAATTGACTACAAACATTAAAAGAGCTTGTGAAACTTAGTTATTGTTGACATTTGTGGCTCTTTGGGTGGAATATTCGAGGAGAAATTGGTTTTCAAAAACTGCAAAATTTCTGGGTGGCAAAAGTGCTAATGAGCTCATACATTCTTTGTGAAATTTTGAGTTTTTAAACCCGCGTCGCGCAAAACGTATTCAATACATCAGGCTCAAACTTGATTTCTGGGCACAGTTAATTGTGCTGTGTCCTTTCAATATTCAGACCTAAAGTTTTTGTAACTCCGTCAGTAACTTTATTGCTTATGCTAACGAGGCAAATATTAGTAAAGTAGTGTTATGGCTGCATTCGCATCTGTCCTCATGTCTGCACTGTATAGAAAGCTTCTCCTACAACTTGCCTTCAACTACAAGAGTGCGTTAGATGTGACTTCTTCCTTTCCTTTGGTAGGCAATTCTATCATTTGACGATTCTCAAGAGAAAGAAAGGTATTATTTTGTTTTAACCACAATATTGTGAGTAAGAATAGTTTCCCCACTTTGCCATACCATAGACAACGCCAAAGGTTGTTCATGGGCATTGTGACATCGGGTCTTGAGCTTGTACTTCCATCCTTGCGTTTAAACTCTTCAAACTTACCGTGCAGTGTTTCTCCCGAATTGCCTTTACATGTGCATTTTATATTATATGCGGTCATTTTACTTAACTTTTCCAGAGCGTTATAAGTCAAGCTAAAATATCTGTTAAGTTTCTTTTATATTCAGTCAGTATTCTGAGTTAAAGGGGTGACATCGCGATTTGCGCATCTTGAAAAGTTTAGCCAAACGTTTTAAGTTTGTCGTTTGTAATCCGTGTCAATCTTCTCCATCCTTGACCGTCCTTGTTCCTTTATGGTTTAGTATTATCTCTTAGGTTTTTTTCCATTCTAGTAGACTTATTTTCAGGTTTAGTTCAGTTTAAAAGTAATGTTGTGTAAGGCCAAAATAACTCAAAATAACGTGACAGAGCCCCTTTAACAATTTAAAGATCGTCACTTATTTATTTCACCAAACTTTCTCTACAGTGTGTTTTTACAAATCCAGTCTGTCTTTGGCCATTTGATGGAAAGCAAGCTACAGTATTTCGCTCCAGAAGAATTTTGGAAATATTTCAAACTCTGGGGCCAGCCTGTGAATGTTCGAGAGCAACAGGTAAAGAGGTACAAGAACACATCTGGAACCAATTGTTCAAAGGGTGGACGATGTTATACAGCAGATGAATCACTATCCAGTGGATAGAATAGTTTGTTTTATTTACTGTTTTTTACCGGATAGAAATCTATCTTATGGATGGTGTTATCTACGTTTTCAATAACCTGGTCTTGGAGGTTTGTGAGAAATACATCAAATTCAGTATACTGTGATTTTGCCCCTTCAGGTTAAAGCAAAAAGTTACATGTATTGTGTTAAAGGAGAAGGTCATTCCAAAAACCGTGCATTGTTTGTTATCAGCGATAAAAAAAATTCACATTGAGTTTCTCTTTCAGGATGCTTTTGAATTTTTTAGTAACCTCACAGATCAGCTTGATGAAATTCTTAAGGTAAGTGTAGTGAATCACCAATGTGCTCCAGGGTGATCCTTGGAGATTGTCCAGGACAAATGTATCTTCTTTTTCTTTTCAGAAAACAGGACAAGAACAGTTATTTAAAAAGACATTTTGCGGCATGTTTGCTGATCAGAAGATTTGTAAAGAGTGTAATCATAGGTGAGCTGCAATTCTCAAACTCACTAATAATTCATCACGTTTAAACAAAGGAAATCAAGACCGTGACGGTGTTTGGATATCTGATCTTAATGAGCATAGAGTTTTACGATTTTGTCACTCCGTTTTCTCCTTAGTTTTAGTTTCGATTGAGAAGATATATCAAACACTCAAGACAGCGTTTCACTACATTTTTGAAAGAACCTCAGAGTTCATCAAAAATACTGACTCCGCTACGCGTTTTACTTGCAACTCTGTTCTCGATGTTTGGAAACGTAGTAAAGCATGGTCTTTCATGTTTGATAGATCAATAGGAACATCTACTGTTTGGAGCATAACTCTTCAAGGGAGAAGCCCTATATAGTGTAGTCCCGTGTACGCAAAACGCTTGGTTCCAAACATTTAGCTGCATATTTGCACAATTCGGACAAACCAAACATAGGCCGTGGCTCTATATTAGAGACAGCCACTGTTTAAGATCTTAACCCTTTATGGAAGAAGCCCTGTATAGTGCGAACTCATTGAACAACACGATTCGTTGGATGTAATCACGTTTTTAATTAGAACCCTGCAAGTGTTTTAAAAGACTCGTACAGCCGTCACATCTAGTCCCTTCCCTAACCACCGAATTTGATCAGAGTACGAAACAGTCAGATAAATGTTGGTCTTTGATACCAAACCAAATGCAGTCCACAACTGTTGTGTTTTGTTAGATTCCACCTTAACCCACTGTTCTGAATGGATGACCTGATACGTAGCAGTTGTTATGCCAAATCGTACCTTTTTGGTTCGCTTTGACAGGTTTGCTTGGTCGAGCCACGGTTCATATTTTGGGGACACTCAGTTGGGCCAAAACACCCATGCAAGACCAAACGAGTCCGATACTTGAACATAATCGTACTTTTTTGGTACCCTTAGGCAGCATGTCAGGCGAGTTTGGTCGAGTCATGGTTTGTATTTTGGCGAGACGTAGTCCGTATGACGCCATACTTAGTCGACATATGAGCCTGATACGCCGCCAAAGCGTACCAGAAAGGTACGATTAGATGTTTACCGTACTCCAATTCGGCCAAGTGAGCATGGTATCTCAGCTATAGCAGGTCAGTGACTTGATATCGCAAGATATCAGGACAGGACAGGGCTTCTGATTGGCTAATTGCGAATTTAGGAATGGTAAGACGCCAAAGTCTACCAAAAGGGTGCAATAAGGTATTTACCATACCTAAATTTGGCCACAAATCCAGCTTCATTTGGTCAGGGGCCTGATATCGCAAGATATCAGCACAGAAGACGGCTTCTGATCGGCCAATTATGAATTTGGGTGCGGTAAAATAAATCATTCGAACATTTAGCTTATGATTCTCATTTACCAATTGACCACATTGTAACTCAGCAACTTGTCTGGTCGCCAGGTACGAGAGGGAAGAGGCTTTCCACTCTTTACAAGTGACTGTGAAAAACCTGAAATTAGAAGACTCCCTAGAACAGTTTGTTAACGGCGAGATACTTGAAGGAGACAATGCATACTTCTGTGAAAAGTGTAACGAGAGGGTGAGTATAGTGTATAAGTACTAAGTTAGGTCTGCGCCAGGTAAAGTGCATATAGACTGCGAGCAGTCTCCCTTTTCCTCGAAAATCTTTGGGGAAGAACGCAAAACAAGTCGCGCTACTAGCGGCTCGAGGCATCGGCGCTCGCCCTCTCGCAAGTCACGCTCACAGTCAGGCTCGCACGCTTAGTTGTTTTGCGTTCTTCCCCAGGGAATTTCGAGGGAAAGAGAGACTGCTCGCAGTCTACAATCATGGACAAAAGTGTTGACACATTTGAGCAAGACAGACGCTTTCTGTCGGCGTCCTTCCGTAGTTTCAAAAAACATCTTTTTCGTCGATAGTCAAATCCCCTCTCCCCCCTTTTCAATGTTGAAATGCGCTCTGTGAACACTGTCACGTGGTTACAACATTGAAAAGGGGAGAAGGGGTCGAAATGTGAAAATTGGAGATTGAAAAACTCATGCGTTCAACAAAACAGGTCTTTTTCGGCGATTGTCTCAACTGCTTTTGTCCATGATTGTAGTTTAAGTGCCTTATACTGTACCACCGTAGCATACGACAGATTTTTTTAACATGAAGCAGCTAGGAACAATTCTTTTACCTCCTGGATGGAATGCTGTTTCATCGTAGGGTCCACCTTAGCATCGAATTCATCAGTAGCAAGTTTGAACGGTTATGTTTTTCTAAGAAGACATTGTTCATTAATACCATTTCAGCGGACTACTGTGAAGCGCATGTGTATCAAGACCCTACCTCCTGTGCTTGTGATTCAACTCAAGAGGTTTGGTTACGACTGGGAGGCTGGAAGAGCACTCAAGTTTGACGACCACTTTGAGGTAATGTCAAAGTAAATATGAAGCTTTACTATGTCCTGATAGGTCCTTGTATACCTATCGTATTACATATTTTCATAGGTCATGACGGTGGCACATAGACACTTAAACACTTAAATACATAGACACTTAAATAAAGGTTTTACTTACTTACTGACAATAGACTACTTACAACTGTGTTTTATAAACGTATTCGTTTGAAAGAAAGGGACATTGCTTACTTCACTTAGTGATCTATATTGATTACAAAATTCATGGCCCAGTCTATGTTTATTATTGTTTTGCCAACATCAAACTAAGTACCATAAACCATTTGAGAGCTCTCAAGTTGTGGCGTTCGACAAGAAGGAGAACGCAGACGTATTACAGACTGGAGTGAGATTTTTTGGGACAACTGTGCGACTGGTGGATCTTGAACGCGAAATTTGCCTCCCCACAGCAGGGGCCCGAAACAAATGGCATCATCGCAAAGCACAAGCATACAAGACATTTTGTGCTCGTTTATGCATTTACACTGTGTACAGTTATGACTCTGGACCGTGCAAATCGACACGAACGCTGCCTGGTCCGTCGGTATGCGAGACGACGTGCTTTTGTTACAAAACCAGAACAATTATTCTGTTTACGAACACGACTTCGAATCGCCTTATGCCTAAACATTACCAGTAAAAGTGAAAATGGTTAGTCTGAAGTTTGAAGGCAAATGTAAATATTTTAGTCCAGGTATACTGGTGCTGTCACACAACGGATCATTCAATCATTCAAGCTGTTAAAGTGAAGACGACTAACGCACTCACATAATCTTTGATTACTGCTAGTCCTATAACTACTGCTTTTAGGGCCTGTTTACACAGGGGGAGGGTTACCCTAACAAGCGGGTTAATCCTGGAAGGCAAAAGATAGCCCGGGTTTACAAGCAAAATTTCACAGGTAGGGTAACCCTACAACCCGGGACAACTTATTGCACGGTTACACTCAAAGGGTCTGGAAACAATTAGAAAGTTGACCCGGGTTGGCGGGATAACACTACCTGGAGTGTTTACAAGGGAAGAAGTTAACCCGCCTGCCAGGGTAACCCTAGCACGCAGATAGGGTAATCCGCCTACACGGGTAACCGTGGCTGCCTTGTAAACAGGACGAAGAAAAAGAGGAAATGTGTGAGTGCTAGGGTAACCCGCTTGCTAGGGCAACCCTCTCACCTTGTAAACAGGCCCTTAATGGCAGTATTAGTGCTTTTGGCGTTTTAATTTGGGTGTTGTTAGTATATACCGTTATTAACCCTTTCTTTGCATTGCTAGTTTCCTTGGATCCTAAACTTGGGTGTTAGTCCTTTCTTTGTGTTTCTAGTTTCCTTGGGTCCTGAACATGGAGCCCTACACCACAGATGGAGTGGCAAGACGAGAGTCTACCACCAATCTACAGGCGCCGGACACAGACAGCGAGAGTGGCAGTAATACAGATCTCCACATGTCTGCCTCGAACTCGTCCCTTCAGTCTAATGTGTCTATCAATGCTCCTGAGATTCAGTATGAGCTTGTAGGTGTCATTGTCCACAGTGGACAAGCGAACGCGGGACATTATTACTCCTTCATCAAGGACAGAAGGTTTGTAACATAATCTTACTGTGAACACATGATTGATCAGCGCAGCGGCAGTCATATACACAGCTTAAGCAGCTGTGAAATAAAAGCCTGAAAAAAAAAAATTCAGGTTTGAACGTGATTCGAACCCATGACCTCTGCGATACCGGTGCGGTGCTCTACCAACTGAGCTATCAAGCCAACTGAGAGCTGGTCACGTTGTGATCTTTCATGTGTTTACTTGTATAGTCTTTCTCTATTAAAATGTTTTGATGTTGTGCATGGTGTCACAGGAAACAGTACAGTTATCTTTTTGCTACAATCTCACTGTTTTTGGATACGGAGGTTCAGTTTTCCCAGGGGCTAGTCTTGTATAGCACAACAAAGACATTTTAATTTAACTTTAACTTAAAAACGTAAAATTCATTTGGAATATACCTGTTTTTATACACATAGAAATGGTACAAAAGAAAAGTGGTACAAGTTCAACGACACTATTGTAGAAGAATTTGACATGAACGAGGACACACTAGAAGCAGAGTGTTTTGGTGGAACATACAAAGCTACCGTCTATGATACTGGTGAGCTGGCATACAGACAAAAGATAGGTTAAGTCTGCATACGAGCCAAGTGGCCCATCAGGCCGGAGCNCGAGAGTAAAGTGTCTTGCCCAAGAACACAACGCAATGTCCCCGGCCAGGGCTCGAACCCGGACCGCTCGATCCGGAGATGAGCGCACTAACCATAAGACCACCGCGCCTCCCATACATACAAAAGATGCAAAGACTTATTTTTACTCGAATTTATACCATGCCATAGAAAATACAGCCAATCAGAATACAGGAAGCCGTTGTATATTCGACAGTATTACACCCAACCTTCCCATCGGGCGCTGCGTGAATGTTCCCTTGATTTTTGTTGGCCAGTGGTTTTACTGTGCCATGGTATAAAATATTTAAGCCAGCGCTCTCTCGTGGTATACCATCCCACTTGTCACTTGTATTTTCTTGGTAGACACATTCATCTGAAGGCTCGTGTAAATACCGTGAAAATACAAGTAACTAGAGGCATATTACCCGGTATACCACTCGGAAACATTGCGTAACCACATGCAGTATTTATAGGGTAGCTAACATCTTCGAGGAATGTTAAAAGTATCAAGTATCTACACAAAATCAAAATCAACGGCATGAACAAATTAAATATGAGGTAAATGATTCAATTCATAAGAAGCCATTTTGCAGTGGAGTCATAAGCCATTTTCATGGAATAATTGTGAAAATGGAAGTTTTTCGGTGTGAATTTTAAATTTGGACTTAAAATAGACCGTGAAATGGCTATGTACTATGTGCAGCTGAGCAACTATCGTATGATAACTATCGTATCGTATGCTGTCAAAACTAGTAAGGAAGTTCAACAAACTGGCTTGTGTGGTATCAGTTTTGCCCCTTAAATAAACATGAAACACATTGATCAGGTTAGGAATTGTACTACAGAATTCACTGTGTTGGTTCGGGGTTTTAGCAGTACTTTTAATACACACTATCGTCTTACAGTCAACAGTTACCCGGAAACTCGTCATCGCTATTGGAATGGCTACATGCTGTTTTACGAGTCAACTGACAAGCTTAAGTACGACACTGGCAATGATGGCCGAGGAAACCTGGTACGACAGGATGCAGTTATGGAGGGCCAAAGGTATAAATGCCCTTAAAGGAGCTATGTCACGGTATTTTGAGTTATTTTGGTCACGTGCAAAATTACCTTTAAATTGAAGGAAGCCTGAAAATAATTGCTTAGTAGGATAGAAAAACATCAAAGATATGATAATAAACCATTAAGGCACGAGGATGGTTAAGGATGGAGAAGATTAACACGGATTACAAACAACAATCTTTCAAGATGCTCAAACCGTGATGTAGCAGCTTTAACACCTGTCATACGTTTATTACTCAGTTTAGAAGATCTGCTTCAAGTAATAAATAACCCAGGATATAACACAGATATCGGTAGAGCTTCTTAAACGGTGAATTCTCGAACGGGGGAAGAATTAAGAATTTGTATTTCAGGCAATGTCCACATGATTGGTGTAAATTTTGCCATGCATATGGTGTCGTTTGAAAGCCACGCGAATGCTCTAACTTTCTTCTCAAGTGTCTTTCTTTCATGCTTACACGAGATAGATAATAGACCATTTTACAGTTGTCTGCTCAGTGACCTGGCCTTTGGATGGCAGCGAGGCTGGAGTTGACCTTGTTTTGATACAGACCTCACTGCTNTCGCTGCCATCCAAAGGCCAGGTCACTGAGCAGACAACTGTAAAATTGGCTATTTGACTTGGGCATTCTTTCCTTAAATTTTCGTTTCCAGGTCCTGTCCACCTTCTCCATCTTCTTCTTCGATATCCTCGAGTTCAGGCCCCCCATCACCCACTCGGACAGATGGTTTGAGTCAGCTGACAGCTTTACTTCAAAAAGGAGAGCGGAAAGGAATCTTTAAGGACAAAATGCCAGCATCTATTCAAAGAGTGGTTAGTTTGTGACATGTCTTTTTAGCTAAACATCAAAAGCCGAACATGCCTTTTCACGAGAAGACATTGTTCTCTATCTTAAAATGTCGTAGAATGTATCCCTTATTTTTGGCAGTTGCCTGATTGTTTCGCGAGAAATGTGAAACTCGAAGTAGCAAATAAATGTGGTTAAACTAGTCCGACTGTACAAATCTATTTATGTACAGCTCTGGTTTATCCATTCACCACTTTAATAGCGGATGGAGACTTCAAACACTATTTCATGGCCGAGTCTCCAAGAACTTTGTTGTAGTGTTGAGTGAAATGATCTACCAACGGAATATTTCCACTACTTTTTTATTAGATATTACGTGCAATTTGTATGTGACTTACGTTGGTAGCCGATATAACGCGCGCTCTGATTGGCTACTTATAGACATAATTCTCCCGTAATGCCCGCGGGCTGATTACAGGCCTGTAAAACAAAGTAATAAGCCATATGATAAGCAACGTATTAACCTCGAACTTTAGATCTTTACGCTCGGCCAATACGTCAAGGTCTTGGTTTGAGATTTTCCCGTCAAGACCTCACTTTAATAAGAAGTTATTCATGAGAATAAAATAGCTCAGCAGTAGGCCAATGGAAAAGAGAATTTTTATATTTATTTTAAAAAAGGCATTTCTCCTAATTATTACTTTAGGAAACGCTGGAAACAAGTGAAGAGAATTTATATGTTGACAAAGGTTTAGTGGTTAATGCATCTGAATTAGTAGAACTATAGGAATTGCCTTATGGCAAAACAAAAGGCAATTTTTACCCTCGTGGCATCAAAAGACAAAAGTGAAAAGTTATTTTAAAGATTTGTTGGTAATGCATAATTCCTATTTGTTTTGTTTACTCTATCTCTCCAGGTTTACACCGAGAACCTTCAGTTTATGCGGAACAGGGATGTTTATAACGTTGATTATTTTAAATTCATTCTCAATCTTGCGTCTTGCAATGCGGTAAGTTACACAATAATTACAATTTAATGTAATACGGATAAGACCATTTTACAGTTCTCTGCTCGGTGACCTGGCCTTTGAATGGCAGTGAGGCTGGAGGTGACCTTGTTTTGATACAGACCTCTGCTTTTGTCATGCAAATGACCTAGTCAGCATTAGAACAACTTGATTTACACAACAAATTAAAAGCAGTGAGGTCTTTATCAAAACAAAGTCACCTGCAGCCTCGCTGCCATTCAAAGGCCTGGTCACTGAACAGACAACTGTAAAATCATTAAATTCACGTCAGTTTTTCATGCGTCTTTCCTGTTATTGATCAAAGTAGCTGTGGATCCACGAGGCGAAAGGCGAATGGATCCGCTGACTACTTTGACAATGTTATGACGAAATTCATTGTCAATAACAGGACAGACGCATTAAAAACTGATGTCTAGTTGTTTTTTTACGATAACAAATTGTAAAATTATCCGCTCTCGCTCGTTGACGCATCGCATAAATTATGAATTCATGTGTCTGTCCGCTTATTGACAATGAAAATTAGCCAATGAGCGCGCGAGAATTTCTTCAGTTTTCGTAAAAGGTCTCTTGCAATCGGCAATAGTATTTGGACCGAGTGGTGAACAATTCAGGGCGTAACTGTTTAATAGATGAGAGTTATTTATGTAGAAGGTGGCTTCCCAAAGCCTCTTCATCCTCTAGTCTTCAGTAGCTCAAAGCTGGCTTTGGATTTGACGTTCAGAATGAACTTGTTACTTGGCAGCCGCATTGGTGTCCTAAAGCAATGAAACGGCCGCCATGTTGGTATCCTGTGGGAGTTGAACTCTTTTGCCACGTAGACACTGTTTTGTTCCTATGAATTTGCGTGGCTACTGGTCACGTGAGTAAATACGCTCTATCACTTTCATTTCTATTTTTATTTCACAGAGAAACACGTCATCTGGTAGGCATGCGACGCTATCAGTTTGCAGTCTACAACTGGCGGTCCAGTTCCTCTTTAACACTTACTTTAGGACCACGAAGAAACTCAGGTCAGAAAAAAACCATGCTGTTATGTTTACTGTCTTGTAGTGTATGTTCAAACAATCACAGTCAGCTTTATTTTCACGCTGATTGTATATAATATATTTAGGATCCACACAGAAGAATGGTGCAGCTGTATTGGTACCATAGTAAAGCACAACAGCGAGGCTTGCGTATGGTTTCTCAACTTCTTAGCTGGAGAAAGAGGCAAAGGTTATGTCAGGTAGGACTAATTGCTTACTAGTCACATAACACTTCATACTGGTCACGTGACACGTTCCACTAGTCACGCAACACTTGCCAAGCAATAACCAAAGCCCTTCTTGATATCAACTTTCTAAGCCATTTTTTGACACCTTCAGAAGAAATTGATCATTTTATATTAAAAGTAATTGAAAGGCTATTATCTTCTGATGCATCTTTTTGAACCTTCCCTTAAAGGTGATTTTTAACGCAACATTTCGTTGCGGCAACATGTTGCAAGTTTTTGAAAGTGATACAAAAACCTGCAACATTGTTGCCCGAATTTTGCATGTTGCGTTAAAATCGTCTCGTGTAACATACCGTTGCAGACCTTTGCTGCAACAAAGTTGCGTTAAAAGTTGTCTCGTGTAACATGGATTAAAAATCGGCGTTAAAAATCGGCTCTTGTGACATCACCTTTACTGTGTAGCAAGGTTGGTAATGCAATTTCGTTTTTCAGACAATAACTGGAGAGATAGAATTTTCAGTCACTGGCTTAAGGCACTGATTTTGTCCTGACAATAACATCTCAAATCGTGAAAGGTCGAAAATTTCAGGATTGAAATCATTACTTTATTCCTTTGCGAAAGCGTGTAACTTTTCTTAAATGTTTCAAGATTGGGAAAACTACTCACATGCATCAGTTCTCCTCTTTTTGTTTTCATTTTTAAGCCGTAACTGACTTTGTAATGAAATTTTAGACTGACAATTCTACTTTATTTTAGCTGTTGGTTCTCTCAGCTGGCTTACTCGTAGTTTATGTCATCTTGTTTTATTTCGTTTCAGACCTTTTCTGTTGGAATGTCCTTCTCAAGAAGTTCGCTCTGCGTTCGCCAAGATTCTTGGTCTCACGTTTGAGAGCTTCATTAACCATGGAGGAGCTGTGGTAGAAACGTTTTCTATGTTCCAATATGTGAAATTCTTCAGGCAAAACTTCGCGATTAAATTTTCTGGTGGTTTTGTTCAAAGTTGTTGGTATAAAAAGACGACCGCTTGTCCGGGTTGTTTGTTCTTGTCATTGTTGTTGTTGTTGTTTTTTAAAAGGAAAAATCATGTTTATGTTGAAAGAACACTTAATAATGACTGCCCCCCCCCCCCGGCCCCCTCCGAGGGTCGAGGGGAAACAAAACTCGCTGTTTCCCGTGGGACCAGTCATTAAGTGTTTTGATACCTTCCGACTCAGAAAAAAAAAATGCGAAAAACTATTTTTTTGACGCCGGCTGGCACACAAATTTTCCGCGGGTTTAAGGTGCACGACCTTATCACGTGAGGGTGGAAAGTTTCTGTTCTTGTTTCCCTAAGGAGTTAGTGAGTTTTGACCCATGACACGTGACACGTTTTCCTCCAATCGGATAACGTATTTGAGTTGGGAGGTATAACAACGCTCGTTATTAAAACGCACATATTCGTTTTCACTTATCTTGCTAATTAACTTGTAATTAACCTTCTCTCGCTTTGTAGGAAACTGGACAACTTGGTATGTTGGTAGAGGCTCTTCTACAGATGTGTGGCCGTGATGTAGTTGATAACCATAAAAGCTGCTCGGAATACTTCTGGCTTATGAATAGATACGCCATTANTTTTGCCTATTTAGAAATTGTATTCTCCTGTCAAGTCTGTACATGTCAGAAACTTGCATGCTCTTTCTTTGAATAAACTAAAAAATCAACCTTGTAGCAACAGCAACATATGACCATGTAGAAAAACGACGGCGACATTTTCTTCGGCTGGTTAGGCGACATCATTACATAAAAGGATGTGACATGGCAACATGACTACCCCCCTTGGAAGGCCTCATAAGTAAGAGTTGTGACGTACAGTAATCCCTTCAAGTTTGTTCTCTGCTAGAGTGACATTAATGAAAATGGAAAACAGGAGGAACACTTGGAACTAGCCTTTGAATATCTCATAAGGAAAGACCAGATGGAATGGATAACAATCTACAGTGATCAGGTATTAACAGTTGAGCCTCAGCTTTGTTCAGTACACCTGCTGTAAGAGGAGACTGAGTCATGGCTACACAGGGAAGAATAGCTCTATTTATACGTATTATTGTAACATATGAAGACATGGTTTCAAGATCATCGCAGTTATACACACAACTTAAGCAGCTGTCAAATCAAAGCCTGAAAAAAACATTCAGGCTTGAACGGGATTCAAACCCATGACCCTTGTGATACTGGTGCAGTGCACTACCAACTGAACTATCAAGCCAACTGAGAGCTGATCAGGTTGTGAGAGTAACATGCAACATATTACAGTGTGACCACCTGAACCAGGCCACCAAGGGAAAAACTAACCAATCAAAATGTAAACTTACTGGTCGCTTTCTTGTGTCAGCAAGTGATAGGGGTCTGTTTGATACAAATTTATAAGTGATATCAACTCCTTTGCATTATGTAGACTCTTAGAGATTCAGTCCTTGACGGCGAATTATCATATAGCTTGAAAACTCATTTTATGACAACAGTTAACTGAAACAGTTGAAAAGTGGACAAAATTTAAGATTGAAACTAAACAATCAACAAATGACAAAGTTTCCTGAGAGGTTCACAGCACTTCCCTCTTTGCCACTTTGCGGAGTTTTTAGTTTTGTTAAGGCTACTGTTTTATGTTGTTGGTTTACTTGAGAATACAGTTTTGGACGTGTTGTTTTCCTCTAGGGATTAACAGAACTTGGTCTGATTGTGTTTTATTTTATTACAGGCAATCCTGTTGAGCCTTTGCCTTCAGAGTATTGTCGATGAAATCCTCAGAATAAAAAACGGAAAACCAATTAAAAGGGTAGGTGACTTACGGACAGTGTTGTGTGACATGTTGAGCTTCGCTTACAGTAGTGTAATGACGTACATGTAACACGTGATATTTTCTCTGTTACCTGTGTATTTTTGTTCTTTGGCCTTATGTCCTGTGATCTGGTGCTAAGCATCTGATGGCATGAGATTCAGGGGTGGATCTAGGGGAAGGGTGCAGGGAGTGTGCCCCCCCTCCCCCTGAGATGAAGCCCTCTTCACATTTGCTTTTAATATTTGTTTACCTCACAGGTCAGTTATGCCATTTCTTAGTGGTGCATCCCCTCCTAAGAAAAATCTTGGATCCACCCCTGAGACTGGGAATGTCCTTTGACCTGCATCCTAAGAGAGAGTCCTTAACTCTATACTGTTGTTCAACCAATTTGTTTCTCAGCCTAAAGATCGTGCAAAGATGAAGAAGGAAGCAAGTCCAGGTTTTGAGCGTACCAATTCTGTGACATCTGATGCATCGACAGAGGTATATAAATTATAAAGCTTCAAGGTGCCTGTGGCACATCTAATCATAAAGAGCCATAGTCGTTTACTACACCAGCTCATACAATGAATATTTACCGTAACCTAGGTTATGGTTTCATCAATTATTTGAAGTTTGGCAGACTGTAGGGTTAGACTGTAGATGTATAGTAGATGACTGTAGATGACTGCAAGTTTCTTTTTGTAATATATTAATGACAAGATGTAAACAACTGTATTTGGCTCTAAAACCATAGGAATGTCCTTGGGTATATACTGAGTAGTTTAAAGTGTAAAATTTGATTTTCGTAAAACAGTACTCAATACATCAGAGTAGAGCGAAGTATATAATGTGGGAGGAAAAACACATTGTAAAATAAACTACAAGTTTGTCCCTACAAGCCTGTTTCGTGGTTGCCCACTCATCAAGGGATGAAACAGGCTTGTAGGGACCACGAAACAGGCTTGTAGGGACGAACTTGTAGTTTATTTGTGTTTTTCCTCCCACATTATATTGAGTAGTTTATACATAAATTAATATATACAAGTAAACAGGAACAGATGATAAATGCATCATGCATATAGTTTTGTGACAATTATCTCACACAAACCCACATGGCCAAACACCCACTGTTTTCTTTACAACTTTATCAGGCCTGGGTAGCTGTTTTAGCTGGTTAACATGTTTGTTTAAATTCTGGAATCAGGGTGACGTAGAACAAGAGAGCAAAACTGTGAATGGTTCAACTTCTCCATCCACAAGTCCAGAAGCTAGACAGAAACAGAGTTCACCGGGAAAACCAAAAACATCCAAACAATCGGCAGTAAGTAATAAAACTTGCCTCACTGTAAGGGTGTGGCAATGGTGGTACCATATTCATGTCCTCGACATGTAACAATATGTATCAAAACTCTAGCTTCAGATAATGGTGAATAGTGAATGTCTGAGACAATTTTTGCATCTCATAAGCCTTATATTACAAAAGCCACTTTGTGCAAAAGTGTACAGTCTGTCTTTAATCAGCACTTTTTTTATCTTCTTTCTTTTATCTTCTCTTTCCTGGTCTTATCTTCAAACTAGCCTGCCAGCAGGCTCACGTTAGAGCACAAGCACGCGTGGCGTAGCCACGAGCACAAAATCGAGCGGCGAAGCCGCGAGACGAGAATCACTTTCTTGGCGCCTCTTCGCTAGACTCTTTCCCGCTGGATCGCTTTGCTCTTCGCCGCTCGCGCGCGTGACTCAAAGGTGAGCCTGCTCGCAGGCTATCTTCAAACTTACTGCCAGCACACAAGCTGTGATTGACAAGATTAGTTAGGACTGATGATGATGATGACGACGGTGACGATGACGATGAAGATGATGATGATGATTTTCTTCGTTCTTGTAAACAGGGTAAAGGACAATCACCCAAACCGGCAACTGCTCCGTCAAGTAATGCTGCCATGACAACAAACAAGGTGTTTGAAGGGATTGGAGACGACGACCTTTGAACTTTGAGCTTGTTGAAAGGTTACATGGTTAGAGTAATATGACTTCTAGCTTTTATATTTTATAAGTCAGGCTTTCATTTTATATTGAAAAAATTATGTATTATATAATAATGGTAGATTTGTTGAGAGCCAATCAGGCAAAAGATAAAAGTGTTTAAAATTACCTGTGTGAAGCTATTGATTGCACTGAATGTTATAAATCACTGTATTTTCTTCGCACCGCTATAGCCATCTGAACAATTAAACCAAAGCCTATGTTCAAAGTCTGACGATTAGGGGAAACAAATATTGATCACAACATGTATGGCATTTGTTGAGGTGGTGAGAGGCGGTCTTTGCACGCAGTTTATGATTTTGGATCAAAATGGTGAAATAATTGTGCTAATTTTTACTATTCTTAATTTTCACGACAAATTTATGTACGTTAAGCGCAGATGCATTTGAGGTCAATTGCAGATTCTTTCAAAATATTATTCTGGGAAATTTACCAAATTATGTTTATTGTTAAAAATTGTGGCAAGAATTTGTTTAGGTCTGGAACAAATCAGTTACAATTATTATAATAATATAGATTAAACTCAGGGGTTCGTTTTTTATGATGGTAGAATGTGACACCCTAAGAAACAGCTAGAAAAACAAGATTTATGTGGCTTTAAAACAGAAGTTTCTATTATTAGGCTAAATATATTTTAATTACTCGTTTTCAGTCTTGTGGTGAACGTTTTGTACCCAATTATATTTTACATTTTGTGTGAGGTTTTGAAGATAAATAGGGTTGATGTTATTAGTGACTGCAGGGCTCTATAAAAGGAAATTTCTGATTGTACCATTTCTCATCTCCAGCCGGCTGGACCGGTCAATTTGTAGAAATGGTTTTAGGTGAATAGATGCTAGCTTAGCCAGCTGTTTCAGTTAAGGTGGAAGCCAGAAAACGTTGGAGTTTTGGCAGCTTGAGCTCATGAAATGAAATGGCACTGAGTTTCTTTCGTTCTTGCAAAATGGGCACCCATCACTTCGTCTCACCAAAAACCTTGTTCTTTTTGACTTGTCAAACTCAGATAAATTTCTATTCTGTTGGCATTATACTTCAATGTTTGCAAGGGTCACTGACAGTGCAAGCTATTAAGGAGCTTAAGCAATGACGACGGCGACCCCGAGGACAACGCCTAGTAAAAAATGAATTCTATTTTACCTTTGATTTTCGCTATTGTCTAAATCTGTTTAGTGCGCCTATTGGTCTGAAAACTTGCTCAAGCTAAATATGTAACGCTAGCGTTCGATTCCAAATGAAAATACGAAAAATTAGTCGCCGTCGTTTGCGTTTTCCAAAATACGCAGAACATATTTCACGTTGTTGTTGTGCAGAGGACGGCTGAGAATTTTACAAAGATTTATAACGCACGTGCGCAGCTATTGTTCTACTCATAAACCTTTTGTTTTGTGACGTTCTCGTTGCCGTTTGCTTAAGCTCCTTACTAAGGGGTTTGGAGACAAGTGCTTCCCAAGAAAGTTGTGTAAAATTATGTCCCACTCAATAATTGACTGTATTTGAAATATTTCGTCAATATAACCACTGCTTTAAAAAAAGAAAAAAATAAATAAATAACAAATCATTGCGATTATTTGCCATGACTGTTGGCTGTCGCATTCAATGCTTGTAAGGCCTGTGTAACAGGGAACAATCACGAGACTGTGTTGATAACAAAATCGTAGCTCGTTAATGAAACTCAGTTTTTACGTCTTGAACGGTGTAATGTTTGAAAAATTAGAATTTAAATAGTGAGCATTTTTTGGCATGCTTTTTTAGCTAGTTTAGTGGTTGGTGACCATTCTTTTCTCTTTGGTATGATTATGATTTTGTAATAATTATAGTGTAATATTATTGACACGATCATGTGATAGAGGAGGACTTAAAGCTAACTAATGTATGTGTTAAACTGTGCCTTTCGTGCACGTGATTTTAGTGATTTTTTTTCTGTTGCTGCTGTTAAGGGTAATTATAGTTTTCCATATTGGAAGAGTTTGTGTGTTCTTACATCTTAAACCATTTGTAGTCCGAAGGTGTTAGCTTTTCACTGTTATCATTTGTTTTATTATCATTGTATTTCAGTGAAACAGCGTGTTACTACCACTTATCTAGAAATTATTTACATTGAAATGAGGGCTTATGGATAGTACACTGGGCAGAAATTAGGGAACTTGAGCAAACCATAACGTTAAAAAAAAAATTGCCAAAGAAAAGATTTATTGAAAGCAACAGCTTTGCATGTGCGTTATAATTCTTGGTGAATTCCTTGGGTGTCGTCCACATTACGCCGGAGGAATTTTAAAACGCAGCTTTATTTCTCCAGTGAGGCCTACGGTCCACACTAATCCGTCACGGAAACCGAGCTTTTCGAAAACGCTCTTCAAACCGGAGAAATTTGAAAACGCCGGCTTTTCGTTTTCGTGTGGACAGAAAACATTTTGAAACGGAGCTTTTTTAAAACGATTACCTCACGATAATCGTGTGATTTTCCTGCTCGAGTGTTTTTCAAACACAAATCCAATATTACGGGGCTCGTACGGGTCCTGGAAAACCTGGAAAGTCCTGGAAGTTTATTGTGGCCTTTTCCAGGTCTGGAAAGGCCTGGAAAAGGGCTACTGGTCCTGGAAAGTTCTGGAAATCTGTTAAACTCAAGTAAAAAAATATGAAATGTATGGCAGACAGCAAGGAGAATTAACATTAAGATCTTGGGAGTGAAAAGGTTAATGTGAATTTTAGAATCCTGGAAAAATCAATCTGAGTCCTGGAAAAGTCCTGGAAATTTGTTTCTGAAATAGGGTATGAACCCTGGTTCAACCTTGATGGATTTGTCAAAGGGCTGAGTTCAGAATGAACCTGTGCTCCTGCAGATAGTAGGTTGGGCGTGGGGTTAATCTATCTATGTTAAATTCTCAGCTCAACAGGTGTTGGTTTGGGAGTCAAGTCAAGTCTAGTCAAGTCATTTTTATTTAGGCAGGATAGTCCCATCAGCCATAGGCTGGTATCAAAAGGGGTCCTGCATAAAATTAAGACTACATGATAAAAAATTCAGTAGCAAAACAACTTGCCAAATAGACCAATTTCGATATATTAAAATTCAGCCTAAAACAATAGACCTCAGTACGAGGCTCTGGGGAATAAATACAGAGTTTGTGGGGTTTATTCCCTAGAGCCTCGTTCTGAGGTCTATTGTGTTAGGCTGAATTTTAATATATCGAAGTTGGTCTATTCTACTTTTCTTTAAACGGCAATCTAGGCAAAAACAAGCAAACAAAAACAAAACAGCAGTAGCCATACGCTCAATACCAGCAACTTTTTTGCAAGACGTTAAGTGCGTCCTATCATGCTTAAATGCCTACTAGCTGGCCCGAAAATTACTTGAACACCATCCAGACACCAAATATATTCGAAAACAGAAATGTCACACACTATAATGTAAGAATATTCACAAGAATAATTCAGCCAAAAATCGGTAGATAAATAAGAATATTCAGCCTGGGCCGGGAAAAAATATTCTGGAGTGTAGCGATTTATCAGACAAGTTATTTGTCAAGATTCTTGAGAAAGGAAACCCAGTTTAATGCAACCCAGTCTAATGGAACTGTCAGTGCTGATGAATGATGGGTTCTGTCCGCTTACTCAGATATGACGTTTGTACTGTTCCATAGCTCAAATGGGGCTTGCTGATCCCTAATCCGATTCCAGACTGTTTTTCTTTAGTTCATGAAATTGTCAAACGTTTAATGGGTATGCTTGTTCCATTTCGTCGCTGCTAACCATCGTGGAAAATTGTTTTGCTCTATATGTTGTCATTGTGATCGCTCCTTCCGTATTGGCGTTCTAGGGTGGTGTCGTAACTAGATTCTGCCTTAAACTGTTCTAAACTTTCTTCTTTTGCAGAATCGAATAACTTGCAGACACCTTATCGCTCAGGGAGCATTCTCTAAGTTCTTGCACTTCTTGGTCGGACCTAATGCTGAAAACGTGAGTTGTAAATTGTTTTTGATGTTCTTGTTTAGTGTTCACCTAGCAACAATGTCGAATACCCTAGGGTATACGGTACCAGGACGGTGGGAACTGGTATGCTAGGGAATAGGTTGGCAGGTTAAGGCTAACAACAAGCGCCAAACATCTGTTCTCATTGGGAATTTTCGGACACGTTCGTGTGGGCTTTCGGACAATTTTTGGAGATTTTTGGGAAGTGTCGGAATCTTCGGAAAATCGTCAAAAACGTCGTTATCAGTATGTTTATATAATAAACAAAATAATACGTGGCTGCTTGTAGATATCTCACCTCTTGTTCAACTATGTCGAGTTGAACACTCAAAAAGATATTCCAAATCTATGCGCGCCCATGTATTATCCTCTATTTATTAACCTGCATATCGAGTGGTCTTGTGCGACGCTAGAACGAGAGGTACAGCTAAGGACAATTGGCTTCCGCGCTTGCTTTGCCTTCCTCGACACAGTCTGTGCAATTACTCAGGCGAGTGGTTTGAAAGCTTGCAAATCCTGAACTGATATTTAACTTTTTGTATGTTTGGTGATTCTTTCATGATCAGGGATCTAACCGAAGATGGAGCTCTATCCAGGCACAGGAGTTTACTCATCTTTACAGTGTACTTGCCACTCTTGTGTGCTCCTGTGATGTGTCGTCACAACTTACAGTCGGTAAGACCACCAGTCCAGCTAAACTTTTAAATTATCTCTTAGTTTAATTCGTGTTTCAGTGATTATTACTATCACTCACGTCCTTGTCTTGTTTGGTCTTGTTTTAAATTAGAACCCAGGTCTTTGCGGCCTACTTTCCTGGAAACAGTCCGTGCTGACTCGCTCATTTCCATGCCCCCTCAAATGGAAGATGCAATCTTTGGTGTTAATAGTGACTTTTACATCAGAGAGGTTAGCACAGCTTTTGTTTTGTTTTGTTTTTGTTTTGTTTTTTTTGACCACTCAGAACAAACAGCCAAGAGGCCGTCTCTCCGCCGCTGTCTAGAACAACAAGGCATTCGCACCGTCTTTAAGTCC